AACATTCGCTCTTAAATATATTTCATACGGATATTAGGAAAGTATTCTTTTCCAAAATTAGATAAACACTTTTTGCAGCAGACACATAGTTTAAATATTTTTGAATAATTGCAAAACAAAAACCGCAAAAAAGGTCACTTTCACATTCATTTGTCTATCACAAACCCGCCGGAACAAAGCTCATTGTTGCGAAACTGATATAAATCACTCAAGACCAAAACTGATTAACTTTAATCTTACATTTAAGCTGTAAATGAAACTGCCTTTTCTACCTTTTTCTGTTATTATATCATGGCACATTATCCTGTAAATATCAAAGGCCACCGCAGCGTCTGAAAGAGGCGGATGGAAATTTCACATTGACAGTCTCTGGCATGTCGTTTCTATATATAGAAGTTCTAGGCTGTTAAATACGTGATAAAAGTCATTGAGAAATCCTAGCTAAATTATATTTCAAAACATTTTACAGCGGTCAATAAAAACCGTCATTTGACTGTCATTGACTAAACTTCCTCTAGCAGAATGCAAATTACACATTTCTTGAAATAATTTTCAAATTTTAAAAGATATTGACATTTGGCTCGAGACTATTCCAACAATGTCATCAGTCTCTTTTAATCTTTAGCAACCTTAGATTTTTTTCAATAAGCAAACGTAACAGTTACGATACTGTTGGCAAATATAATTTCTGCCATTGACTAATTGTGATTTATAAGACAGAAAAAAACAGACATGCATGCATTTATTAAATTTTGGTTAAGACCTTTATTATGTAACTGTAAAGTACTGTCACTGTTATTTGAGAAGATATGAAAAGTTTAAGTATTTTACAAAATGACATATAGTTGTTTATTTATTTATTTATTTATTTATTTATTTATTTCAACCAGATTGTTAGGCGAGGCCAAAGTTCACCGCAACAATTTATTTCGCACTTGGTGATTCGTTACAGATGTGGTCAGCCTCTTGCTTATAAAACGGTAAAGATTGGAAGCTCATTATACTGGTCGTCCGACCGTTTATTTATTTATTTATTTATTTATTTATTTATTTATTTATTAGAACGGATTTGAAGTAAAGGGTCGCTCAACCAGACTGTTGGGCGAGCCCAAAGTTCACCGCAACAATTTATTTCGCACTTGGTGATTCGTTACAGATGTGGTCAGCCTCTTGCTTATAAAACGGTAAAGATTGGAAGCTCATTATACTGGTCGTCCGACCGTCAAGATATGATTAAAATTGTGTAAAATTGAAAGAAAAGTTGGTTATCGCACTCCTGCCTACAATGAGTTAAATGTTTAATTTTTTGTCTGTTATTACATTTGTTTGTGATAAAAATAATGTTTAAAATTTATTCGAAAGATTTTATTTACTTTTATTTACTACTATGAAGTAGATGTCATAAAAAACTACTTAAATATTATTATACATAAAATTGATGATAACCAAGAACGATGGCCAAAACATAAAAACATACAGCATTCAATGCAATATGTTTGATACATAGTCATACGTTCTTCTTATTTTTTTATTTATTACCCCTCACTTTTTGTGTAATGTTAATTTCCCATAGGCCACTCGGAGTTATTCATACTGTTAATACAAGTGTACCATGTGACAAAGAAATGTGTACTGTTACAGGGTAACAGTATACATATGTATAAAATCTGACCATGTTGTCTTTTTGCCTAAAATGGCCACCAGTTCAATTTTGTTACAGTTAGATTTAGTTGACAATTTCAGGTCATCACAGTATTTGTTCGGGGTAAGAAAATAAATAACACATGGGTTTGTGAGTAACAGTAAAAATATCATCTCTCGTAAAAATACTGTAACAGTATTTTCCTAAGGATGATACTTTTACTGTTACCCACAAACCCATGTGTTATTTATATAATATTCAAATAAGGTTTATAATACATACAGGTAGTACATTTATATTGTGCCAGAATTCTAAAGGAAACACTTAATTATGCTCATTGAAATCCCGTATGTGCCGTTAACAAGTATTAATTATTCTTTAATATCGTCGTTTTCGTTTTGTAATATGCCGGATTTGTTTTTGGGCCAAATAGAGATAAAACCTCACTAGAGTTTAGGTTATAATTACTTTTAAAGAAGTTATTTTTTTGGTGTATTGCATGCTATTTTTTCGATGGACCAAAGTTAATTAAGCTTTAATTTTTTCCCCAGGAATGTTTGTATTCCTTGGTTAAAAATTAGGAAATGGTAAAATAAATATTTTTCTATTTTCTTATTAAAGGAAGAATATTTTTATATTTGAAGCAAAAACTATTTGAGAAGCTAAATTACAGTGTTACATCATAAAATGTCTTTGTAAACAAAATCCTGTGCGCCACTGGATGTTTAGCCTAGAGTTTGTAAACAAGGAAATATTTATCATTTTCAACAAAATTATATTGTATTCAAATTATTATTCATAGTTTCCAAGAAAATTGAAGGATATAAAAATATTATGTTGCGGCAATTTATTTTCAGTGGTAACAAGACAGTTACAACAATTCACCACGTCTTCCTTTACAATGGGAAATGCTATAACAGCAGTTGATGTATCAGCTTATCTAAAAAATAAATTGCAGAGAATAACAAAACCTTCTTAATTGAAATAACATAAAAACTTAAGGTTGATCACAAAGAAACATGCGCGTATTTTATTTAACACTTTTCGTGAAATACACATCAATAGCTATAATTTTGTTTGGTCGTACATATATCATTTCAAAAATTGTTTCACCAAAACCTATATCCAAATGAATCTAATGTGCATTATGCCAGCTAGTTATATACATATAAATGGTTTCTTACGGTGAAATTAGATTCTGTAACTCTTTGTAGCAATCGTACCACAATTTGAATTATATTACCTATTTGCTTTTACATATACTCACATATATATATATCCTTTTATAACAGACTATCGATCAAATATCGACCACTGGGGTCGATTGATTACATAATTTAATTGCATTTGCTGAATTTAGAAATTGTTGTTTACGATGTTGAATAATCATTTTCCTAATCTGTATAGAACGTAAAAAGCATATAATCAACAATGCCTATGTCCTTTTACTCAATGAAACTGTCTTTAAACAAATTATTATGATTTCAAACTAGTGACAAGACAGGAGTATTTTCATGTTATGATGATCTTACCTCTAAGCGCCATAGTGTAGTCAGGTACGGTTTGTCAGCGTACGGTATGGTACGGACATATACAGAACATTATTGTGAAAGAGTTGTTCCCCTTCGTATTACATGTACGCCATTTGTTGCCGATTCTTTAGGCAATATTAATAAACTACAAAACTCATATATTTGTGTGTTTCTATACCGTTAAACCATACTGGCGTGGTGGCAGCAGGAAAAGGACTCACTCTCAATCTGCAACCCAGTAATTTGCGGACACTGTTGTGGACATTTCACGTCAAAATAAGTGCAAAAAAACGGATAGTTCTACTCTACTGCGTAGTGACAAAACACATAAACATTTACAATAATGGCTCAAGTACGTGCACCCAAGCAATGGTGTTTGACCAAACAAGAAACTATTACATCGTTCGAGTCTTGGAGACAAAATTTACAATATACTTTGTCCCTGGATCCCAATTTTTGCACCGTTCCTAGTTGAGTGATTTCAGTGGGAGCGAAAAACAACACAAACCCAGAACGCGGATTTACTGATGATGGCGAATCAAGTTCCTGAGGCAAAGAAGGCGCAACAGCTGCACAAAAAGTGATTTATCTAGAACTTCATGTTAGGGCAAATTGCAAACTTCTGCCCAATAATGTCTCGTAAACACTATCGTGAAAAAATGCAACGTCAATAAAAACTATTTGGCAGACAATTCGTTTACATTTTCGGATTCCAGTCAACAGGAGCACATTTTCTGGATATTTTGACAGTATACAACTTCAACCAGTGAGAAAGACCAGAGGGATTTGTATACCAGCGTTTATCAAGTGTTTATCGAAGATAACACTTTTAAAGAAAATGGTGGCCTATCTCATATGGCGAACTGTACCAGATGAAGACGAAGAGATTACCCCAACAGTCGAAAAACTTCGGTTGTATTAACATGGTTGAGATTAATAGACAATCGAATTTGCCGGCACTAGTTTAAAACAGCGCTAACGGAACAGAACCGTTCAAGGACTTTAAGCCACACTTAAGCCCAAATTTCTCCTCGCTTTAGACAGTTTGCTAACGAAATACATGCCGTAGCTGATGCAAAAGTCATGCGTTCTGCTTTTAAAGGGTTCTAAAAGACAACGGAAATTCGATCAAAATCTTCTCTCCACCCTTCTGTCCCCTTAGTAAAAAGCTGGCCAAATCATTCAATCATTTTCTCAGGCAAATGCAAATTCTTTACTGAGGAAGACAAGCGTTATCTTTCAAGTGTTCGTCAAACGTTCGAACGAAAACTGCGGGGGGTCCGGAAATCGATCAAAGACTTACGAAGATGACAATCACAATCTCAAGCTATGGTTTACATTCGTGCTACTTATAACTGTAAGCACCAAAAACAGTCTCCAACTTAAAAAAATTTTATAAAACTTTTTTCTGAATTTACCCAAAGATACTGGAGCAAAATCAACATGTTGAAAATTGCTCCTGTTTTCACACTATAGGGATACCTATTAAGCAAAAGCCAAATCAACGTGCACTCCAGGCAGATGTTTCCACCCCATTAAAGGTGGCTGGCGAGACAACATTATAGTTCTTTACTTGTGCGAACGAGTTTAACTGTTGAGGCATTAGTGGTTGAAAAATTAATGTGGATTTACTTGGTGGAATACCTTTCATGGCAACAAATACTTATTGGGTTAACCTGACAAAGCAACAAATTTTATTCATGGTTCGATACATGTTTTTATTGCACCAAGGTACCTGACTCGGTTTCTCACAGTTTTCGAAGGACCAAGCTTTTGTCCTTAGGTCAAGTTCAATATGTCTTCAATTTACATTGGCCGGATCTTACCTGGAGGTCACTTTGCCAGACAACATTGATCCAGATGGCACACTTGCCATAGAGCCCAAGTTCGGAGCATCCAGTAACAAACAATGGCCACTTACAAGTTATTGAAGCAGTGTCTGGTAAAGTAAGACTACTGAATTCAACACCAATCCCATCCATGTTCATAAAAATGAACATGTTTGTCAAGCTCGCCACACTGTTGACTCTTATGATACAAAAGCTCAAGACTTTCAAGACACACCCTGGTTCGTACTTGTCATGCCAAGATGAACTACCAATAATCATTTCTCTGATACCGTATCAGTTGACCCAGATGCTATACTACCTGAAAATACTCGCCAGTGTTTCCAGAACATCTTAGAGCAATATGATAGTGTATTTGATAAGACTCTGTCTGGATATAATGGTTTTTCTGGGGCCATTCAAAGCAGTTGTTAACATGGGCCCTGTTCAACCACCTCAGCGTAAAGGACGCCTACCTCAAATGCAAGAGATAAGTTAGTTGAGCTACAAGAACACTTCGATGATTTAGAACAGCAAGGAGTGTTTTCGCGCCCAGAAGATATTCCAATTACAGTTGAATACTTAAACCTTCTTTTCTTGGTAAAAAAAGGTCAGGGAGTTTTCGGTTGGTCACAGCGTTTGCTGATGTTGGTCGTTATGCTAAACCTCAGCCTTCACTCATGCCAGACGTAGACACTATACTTCGTACAATAGGTCAATGGACATACATAATAGTAACTGACCTAACAAGCGCATTCTACCAAATTCCTTTGTCGAAGGAGTCCATGAAGTATTGCGGAGAAGCGACACCTTACAAAGGCATACGCGTTTATACAAGATGTGCCATGGGTATGCCAGGCTCAGAAATAGCATTGGAAGAACTCATGTGTCGTGTGCTAGGTGATTTATTGCAAGAAGGTGTTGTGGCGAAAACTTAAAGATGATTTGTACATCGGTGGAAACACTACAGACGAACTCCTTGCCAATTGGACCCGTGTATTAGATGCTTTACAGAAAAAACAACTTGAAACTGAAGCCCACAAAAACCATCATATGTCCAAGATCCACTACGATCCTTGGATGGATATAGTCCCAAGGAAAAATTTTCAGCAAGCCCCCATCGTATAGCTTCTCTTTCGGCTTGTCCACCTTCTCAAACTGTCCATGGGTTACGATCATACATTGGCGCTTACAAGGTGTTGTTGGTCGTGTTCTACCTGGTTTTTCGCAATTGATAGCTCCACTCGACAAACATTACAGCTGGTGGGAACTCTTCAGACAAAATCGTTTGGGATGAAGCCTCACTTAAACATTTTCAAAACACTCAGTCAGCACTAAATTCAAACAAGTCAATTGTCCTTCCTAGACCTACAGACCAACTTTGGATAGTCACTGATGGGTCAGTCAAGAAACGTGGCATTGGCGCTACATTATACGTTACGCGGGCATGGCAAGCTGTTACTCGCTGGATTCTTCAGTGCCAAGTTACGAAAAACACCAGGTCACTTGTTACCTTGTGAGATAGAGGCTCTTGGCATTGCAGCCGCAGTCAAGCACTTCAGTCCATACATTATACAGTCCAGTCAGCAGACGTGTGTGCTAACAGACAGTAAACCGTGTGTTTCAAGCAATTGATAAGTTATGTAGAGGCGAGTTTTCTGCTAGTCCAAGAGTGACATCCTTTTTTTCTGTTGTTAGCCGATATCAAGTACATGTTAAACATCTTGCGGGTTCTTGCCAATGTCCCATCTGATTTTGCCAGCCGCAACGCACCAGAATGTGAAAAACCCCACTTGCCAAATATGTACATTTATTCATATCACTGAGGATTCTGTTGTTAGAGCGATTAACATAGAGGATGTACTTAACAGTAAGAGCCGCTTACCATTCACATCCAGATCAGCTTGGAAAAGATATTCAGTCAGAGTGCCCAGACCTTAGACGCGTTCATTCACATTTATTACAAGGCACTAGGCCTTCAAAGAAACTAACAAATGTTAAAGATGTCAAACGTTACCTCAACTCTGTATCTATTGCCAAGGATGGTATACTTGTCGTAAAAACATACTGATCCTCTTGTGTCTTCGGTTGACCTAATTGTCGTACCCAGATCTGCCATTGATGGTCTTATCACCGCCTTGCATATCAAACTTGACCATCCATCAAAACATCAAATACTACAGGTTTTGAAGAGACATTTTTATGCCTTGGACATGAGCCAAGCAGTTGAAAGAGTATCTGACATGTGTCATAGCTGCGCGTCTTTACGTAAACTACCAACAGGGTTTTGTACTCAATCCTCAGAAGACCCTCCTGAGGTAGTAGGAATGAGTTTCGCTGCAGACGTCATGAAACGTAATAAACAGTTAGTACTTTGTTTAAGAGAAACATCAACTTCATACACTGTTGCCTCCATAGTAGAAAATGAAAGAAGAGATACTATAAGAGATTCCTTAGTATGCCTGTGCACTGAGTTACATCCAATTCATGACCTCCTGCTGTCATTCGAGTTGACGCTGCTCCATGTTTTACATCTTTGAGAGATGACGCCATACTCCGTTCGTCTGAATATAACCTTAGATATTGGTCGCGTGAAAAATGTTTAACAAAAACCCTGTAGGAGAAAAAGCAATTCAAGAGCTTGAAGATGAGATCATACGTATTGAGCCAGATGGCGGTTCGCTTTCTAAGGTTCAACTGGCGATTGCTGTCGCGAAACTGAATTGTCGCATCCGTCGTGAAGGATTATCAGCTAGAGAGTTGTGGACGCAAAGAAATCAGTTTACTCATGAACAACTTTCCTATTTCGGACAGAAATGTTATTTTCTCAACAGTATCAGGCACGTTTAGAAAATCACAGTGCAAGTGAAAAGTCCAAAAGCTCTAAGTCATCTGTGAAAGCCTCTCATGTTAGTGTAGGAGATATAGTTTACTTATATTCTGACAAGAAATAAATTACATTCCAGGCAAAGATACCTTGTAGTGTCAAAAGAAGATGATTGGTTTTACATAAAGAAGTTCATCGGTAACCAGTTACGCGCTTCCTCGTATAAAGTGAAACAAAACGAATGTTTCCGCGTTCCCACAGAAATACAAAATTTTAATCTTTCTAAGTGCAAATTCCAGCAAGACAATGATAGCGACGATATAGACAGTGACATTTCTGTTTCCGCAGGACAACGTTCATATTCCGCCTTCATTAACTGCACCACTAGGAGCTACAGAAATGCCTGAAGTTCAGAGTCCTCCGAGTGTTAGTGGAGAAATGGACACACATGAACCTGACACTGAAACATCTCTTAGTCTTACTGACAGTACTAACTCTAGTTTAAGTTATACTAATGAAGGGACTGAATTACATTCAGAAAGACCGCAGAGGCTCCGCAAGCAACCTAAATACCTTGATGATTACATTACATAGACACATACATAATTAATAAGTTACCATTTTAATAACTGTTTATATCATTGTTTTTTTAAAACGTTTATGGATTTGATTATTAAGAGTGTCTCAATTATTAGACTATATTTCATCACTTAGTTTATCTTAAAAGGATATGTATACGTTAATAAGTTAAATTTCAAAAAGAAAGAAAGGTAGCGCCATAGTGTAGTCAGGTACGGTTTGTCAGCGTACGGTATGGTACGGACATATACAGAACATTATTGTGAAAGAGTTGTTCCCCTTCGTATTACATGTACGCCATTTGTTGCCGATTCTTTAGGCAATATTAACAAGTTTGCTTCTTTAAAAAGAAGCATGCGAGAGGTCTTTTTGCTGCTGTGGAAGATTTGTTTAATTTGAAAATATTTGGAAATAAGACACAACGAATGGTTATAAATTACAATTACTTAACAAAATATAATTTATTATATAAATTGAATATATAGTATCATAATGAAAGTTTTTTTACACTTCATTTTTTAATGTTTTGAAAGATTATATGCTGGAGAAATGGATTTTTTCCTTGACGCATTAGGGATACTTTTTATACAAAGGGAAATAAATTTGAAATAAATGATATGTTTATTAAAAGTAGTATCAAAATAACAGTTTCTTGTAAAATTCAATAAGCAGATTTTCGGTTAATGTTTATAGGTAAGTATATATATGAAAACATTTCCTCTACATTTTCCAAAATGGGCATAAAGTATGTTAATCAGATAAATTCAAGTCCAGGATTTACATAAAAATTTTTTATATCATTTGATTGGAATAAACAGAATATAAAGCTGCATGCCTCCAACCACAATATTTTAAGAAAATCAAACGTGTGACAAATTTGTGCCACTTGCGCCAAAAAATCACCGTTGCGTTACTTAGTCATACCAGTTCAAAAGAACTTTGTACACGCGGTACACGGTTGACTCGGTCGTATAATAGGGATTTAGCTCAATACAGGATTGGAGCAGTACCTCTAGACGCTTGCAGAAATCATGATCACAAAATAGACAAATATCGTTTTTTTCGCCGAATTTTACATTTTTCCTTGATTATCGTACTTGATTCGGTGTAAAAAGATGAATTAGACCTGTTAAAGTTCATTCCGTTGGGTAAAAAGACAAGATTTTAGCATTTTATCATTCAAGCGCCTTGTACGGTATATACCGGAATACGGTATTTAGTGTGGTGCTCCAATCCTTTTTTTAGTCACAGCCGTATAATAGTGCATGGTGTTAATGTAGCTATAATGTTCACTGTTACTATTTATCGTTACTGTTACTACTAATCGGAACAAGAAATAGTAAAACGCTATTAAGAAAACAATACTGTAATCGATTTATACAGTTTAAAAGATTAAAACGGAAGAAACATCCACAACGTAAATAATATTTTCCGATTTTTCTTTGTACCGATCGATTCGTTCACTAACGTACCGGAAAGCGGCGTTTAGCTAGGTTTTCGAAAAGGTCAATTTTTCGTTTAAGCTAAGTCGTATTTTGAAACGGAGCATGCGCAAAACAAATTTTGTAGACTGCTCCTAATGGTTTTAAGCTGTAAATGACATTCACTTACTACAATCAGATACGCAAAAATGGATGCCGCCAGCAATCAGTCTGAACACTATGGAGAGGTCTGATGACCTCTCCAATAAACTACAAAACTCATATATTTGTGTGTTTCTATACCGTTAAACCATACTGGCGAAGGAAAT